ACATGGGAAATTGTCAATTATCGGCGATATACGCACAGATGATTTTATAGGTGAGCGATCATCCGATGCACAATAATCGAAATAAATAGTACGAGACATCATATTTTGTGATCACTGGCAATTTATTACTTCGATTTAGTACGAAAAATAAAGAATCAATGTTATATATCGCTGATGTTGAATTTTGACGTATAAAAACAGACCAAAATTGGGGGTATGGGTAAGAAATCAAAGCAATCATTAAATAACCGTGTAATAAATCAAAGCAATCATTAAATAATCGCGTAATAAATCAAACAAACAAACAAATCAAATTACCAATTGCGAAACAATTATCTGCGAAATGACATATAACATATCTGATATTTTTTTATTATCAATCTTCATCGCCGTAGTCGCAATCCGCGAATTATGCGCTCGGGGCATCTTGTCAATGGAGATGCTTTATACAATCGCCCAGGAAAACATAACAGTATATATCATCCTTGCAATTCTACTTATATTCATTCGAAAAAACGTATCCCCAGCCCCGGCCCCAACACCAATTCCTATCACGATCGATCCAGTTACGCAAAAACTCAAACAAGATATTTTAGCTTTACAAAACAAGATTGCACAGATGGAAACTGAAGCGGAATGGAGGTCTGAAGTCCGAAGTAGAGGTTTGTGAGATATTTACAAATTCTGACTAGTGAAACTAAGTGCCAAGACACTAGCCCCGCTATATTTACTCAACCGATACTAACGTACTAGCTTCGCCATTTAGGGCAAGCATCTGTGCAATCTTATCGATCCGAATATCCCGACAAGATCGAAACTCTCTGGGTTGAGTTTACAGCCATATTCGATGAGAGAAGGAAACGAGAGAAACGTTCCCCCACACAGATGTATAATATCTTATCTTTAGAAATTGGTCTCAGTTCAGCCACACTTGCCACCTTTTACCGACACCAGAGATCCCTACTAAAGACCTCATTGGATAAAATCGAAGCTTGGCTCGAGAAAGTAAACAAAAAAATAAATAACTCTGTTATCGTTAGCAGTAGCAGTGGCAGTGGTAATAGAAATGATTTTTCAAGTAGCAGTAATATAATTTTAGATAATAGCAATAACAATGATAACGATAGCTAGTGTGGGTAGGGAAAGGAACTGCCATCTTTACTATGTAAAAGGCTTAGGATCCTGAGCAGGCATATATAACATGCTTCGTTCCTCCCTCTTCGTCTCTGCCCCACGCTTCTATCTATTCGTTATTTCTGACCAGCCTTTGCAATGTAGTTGTACCAAGAAATAATTTTATGCGCACCCATTACATTCATTGTAATTTTTATCTGTTTACATAATATTTTTTTATTTATATTCCATTCATCGCATATGTTCTTTATTGCAAATTAGATTCCGATACCAATATCGCTAACACAGATCATATAAATTTTTACGCATAACAAAGAAAGTATAATAATAAAACAATAATAGTTTGATCTGTTGATTATAAATTTATGTTAAGACTTGAAGTATGTCATTAAAATCTATGTTCGCTCCACATCCTAATACAAGATGTCTATTCCATTTCATCTTGTACCAACGAACTGTATTGCCCACGGGCCAATGGCCAAGATATGGTGCATAAGGACGAACCGTTTTGAGTTTTGCCACCTTTGAAGCGACGCCAGGTTTTTTATTTTGTGGAAAGGGGTGTTCAGTAGTTGGAATTGGAACAACGATAATTACAAATTCTGTGTTTGGGCAGTGGGGTTGAATGCGCGTGATTTTATTTATGGCATTATTACGATCACCATGTCTGTCATAGGTCACCTATAAATATTTGATTTAACCGATTGTTAAAAAACAGTTGCATGGTTCTGGAGATAAGGAAATGAGACCATCACCTCAATCCATAAATTTGGTGGTGGACATGAATTAATAATAGGAGAGCCCCTTTGATCAATTGTTGGTTTAAGGTTCCAACCACCCACATCAGGTCGATACTGATTACCATTAACCACACATATATTATCGATCTGATTCCACCAAGCTGGAAGTTGTTGATCAAGTGAATTCATCACTTTCTTATGTATTTCTGATTTTATCCCACCATCAAACTTGAATAGTAACAAAAGAATTAGAAAATGTATGTAAAATAATTATAAAACAAAAATGGTAACCCACTTTAATGAATAATTTATTGTCAATAATTTCGGCGTTAAAAATATCATGGATCGCTTCAAGAATTTTATCACGTTTCTTGTCCTTGGCCTTTATTTCTGGTAATTCAAGTTCTATCATATCCACATCATGCATTCCGCGTAGTTCTGCATTGACTTCATTTTCGATTTGACTGATCGTCTAGGAGAAACAGACTGTTGGCTTAATTCAAAATACATGTTTCAAAAAAAATGGAATACATTACTATACCTTGGATTCTGCATTATCTTGAATCAAGTTAACAAGCTTTTTAACGGATGTTTGCACTGTATGTTATAAGAATACGTAAAGTTCCTTTTATAAGACTTTGGGATAAATATTTATTTCATGTTTTTTAATCAATAATAAAATAGTACCTTTACTAATTAAACGACCACTAACTCTACCGATCTCCAAACTTCTCTCTAATCCTATAAATGTGGTTACCATTGACTACGAAAAAATTAAATTTTAAGCAGACTTTTATGGCCTATTATTGTATTAGTAATAAATTTGACTCTAGCAGAGTTTATTATTACATCATCGGAACAGACGAAGTTTATTATTAACAAGTTTTATTTTTGTACACAATCTGTAATCGGGTATGATGTGCTATTTAAACATGATTTTTGATTCTATTAGAAATTAAATATATTATAAATTATTTGATTATAGGTCGAAAGTTCTAAACGTTTGATTAACAAAACCCTTAATTTTTTGTATCCTTTTAGGAATAACAATTTCCGGTTTTTCATCATACCATACCTCAAGAAGAAAAAT